GTCGTGTTTTGTTTGGGTATGGGTTGGATTCATAAATATTGCTGAGACGAGCTTCGGCTTCAGAGGGTCAAGGCTGGTCGTTTTGCGTGCACAAAGAAGACTGGTTTTCTTATCGTTTTAGTCGGAACATTCCAGGCCACGTTGTCACAAGCCGTTTACCTAATATAAACCCGCGTTCTAGTCTGTTATTATTATTATTATTCTGCCGTGTACGCCGTTGGTTTATTGATCACATAGTTTTCAAATCAAATTCTGTATGCGTGTGTTGTTTCCTCACAACTGGTACTCGATACAGCCTAGTTCCGACCTGCCCCGCTCGCATTAGTGCAAGAGTAGGCTCTGCAGACTGACGATTATCGTGGATGTTCGTCTAGCGTCTGCTCCGGTCACTGAATCTGCCCAGTTCCTATTAAATTCGTGGACAATTTGCGTGTCTGAAGAATCTTAAGACTTGCGCGCGCGTCTGCGAGCCATCCCAGTTTCCTTCGCCACGAGAAGTGGAGCCTACTCTTCAGTTTATTGGCTTTCAGAATATTTCGTAGGCCCACTTCACGACGAGCAATTAGTCTGTTACGTAGTCTTGAACCCTTGTAGTTTCGGGTTTATCATAAATTCTGTCCCATTTGGTTTTCGGATATGATCTTCGTGGATGCCTGACTGAAGAGCCAATTCGCTTGGGACATCCTGCTGCAGTGCGTACCCTCTAACCGAACGACGATTTAGGAGGTCAGCATCTCTGCAATGTGGACCGAGGGATGCTTCAATATTTACTTACCTTCTCTTTCTGATTGAGTGGGGATACATCATCCAATCATTGAGTACTGGTGAAAAGTTGGACCAATGGCGGGGAGATAGGGAGGGGTGTGAGCCAATAAGGATGTGGGAGTCTGGCGCATGGACCTACGGTAAGGGCTAGGTAAACATAAGACCCGCAGTCGTCTGAGAGGGACGTCGCGTGAGGTCGTTGTCAGTCACGTGCCACGTGTTCTGCGTGGTCGCTGTTCCGCGTCTGCAAATTTCCTACTCTCAATTTCTTATTTTTCTTGCCTGTATCTTTTTTGTGTACGAAGGGCTACGGCGTCTTTGTAGCATTTGAAGGGAACGCTCTGCAGCTGGCGAACTCGTGTTGGAGTGGAGTTGAAATGCGGTTTCTTGTTCGAAGAATACGTGTATAATTTATATCCGATGTACGCAGAAACAACTCTTTGGCGTTATTCGTGTTTTGCGGTGTTAAATACCGGTGGAATTAATTTCTGATCTGTGTTTTATATCGTGTTTGTGAAATGGATGTGAAATTCCTTGTGCTAACCAGTAAATTGACGACGTGTCGCTGAGAATTGTGGCTCTGGCCTAAAAATGCTTTATGACAATCTGCATGAAACTTGTTATGAAAGAATTACGCTAATTGATTTTAGTGTTACATGGAACGAGTTTGCGAATGTTATTCAATTTTCGTGCGTTAAGATTTATTATAATTGATACCGTACACGTAACTTTTGTTTTGTATTAACATATCTTTCCTTGTAATGTTATGTGCCGTTTTCAGACCTCAGTAATGTAGCGGAGTGTTTCTTTGTCTGTTAAACTTAACGTGTCACGTGTTTCGAGGCGGCCTGCGAGTGTCTGTTGCTGCTACTATTGACCGTAAGATCTACTTGCAGAACGAAGACTGCTGTCTGGTCAACATGGAGGCAATGATTGCCTTGGTCCATCGTCACTTGCTCTTACCACCGATTCTCCTACCCCTGGCACTTCTGTTACCCCGGTGTACACTGGCAGCGCAGTCAAGTACAGGGAACTGGATGTAAGTACAGAAACTTTTTTTATCAAGGAACATTTCGATTTGCATTTCTCTGAAGTAAATAGGCAGAGATTAATTTATCGAATTGCAGTTTTGAAGTGTACCGATTCATTTAATTATGTAACGTAGGACATGAGACAAAGACGGAATTATAGCCGCTGAAATTAAATTAATGCATTGGATGGACAATAATAGAAATAAATTAAGATCTATTAAGAGGACTAGAATCATAATCAAAATTGGAGAACATCTGGGAATTCATTCACATCTTTTTTCCCCCACCCAAAAAGATTGTGCTCTACAGGGTGTTCACACTCAGAATTAATCAGATACAGTTATTCTTTAGGATATAAAGTAGAACTTCACACTTAGAAAATCATTCCATTGATTGAAATTGTATTATAACTCAAATTTTTGGAGTGGTATGAAAAATGATATCCGAAGATATTAATTTTTTGTTATCAAGATATTCATAGCGAGTGACAGACTGCACTTCTATTCGTTATACGGCATGTCCGATACGATCCGCTCCAGTTTTGATAAAGTACAGATGCTCATACACGATTTCTCGAAAACAAATTTTAATATTATCTCTCTGTCTGCCGCGTCTGGATCTCCGACTTTGTCTCTTCCCCTCGAGGTCGTCTTCAGCGCAATTCTTTTATCAGTTTTGTGTTTGATTTATGCGTGCTACAAGTCCCACCTATCTCATCCACCTAAATATAACTTAACATACAAGAATTCTACTTTCTCAGAAGAGACTAAGCGACCAGAATGTTCGCACAATCTAAGAACTAGTTTCTCGCGCGTTATGTGGCTTGGTCGACTACTACCTCTGCCCCCCTCCCCCCGGGCAGTAAAAGGCACAGGACAGTAGCAGTGATCTAGCGTTTGCTCACAGAAAGGTCTCTTTCTTCTCCGCCTGTCACCAGGTGTAGCCGACGGTCTCCATCGTTTCCATACTCAGACTCTTTTTCGGTTCCTTGTTCTTTTATTTAGCCTAAGTATAAGATTTTGTAGGCTAAGGGTTAGATTCCCGGGAGGGTAGAACTTCGCACTTTTCACGCCCAGCCCCACCCAGCCTCCTGTCCCGTAGATTTTCCGGGGTGCTTCCTCGACAGCAAAGCGGCCGGAGCGTAAGTTGACTCACTCACCTCCACTGCTCCATGTGAATGCATGGCGTAGCACCGAAGAGACACATTTACCTTTAACGTGCTATTTATTTCTGTAGAAAGAACGGAAATATTTTTATCATATTCTTTATGCCACCAGTCTCATGGTTGCTGACATAACGAAAAGTTTAGTGTTTGTTATTTTGTAACTAACTCTCGGTTTTACTGTAAATTAGTTTAAGATTCAAGCTTGTGGTGACCTAAAACAAGCACTTGTATTGATTGTACCTCTTCGTCACTACATTCTTTCCGGTTCTGGGGTCCTGCCAGCCTAGCCTACCCGGTGGACACCGGAGACAAGTAATCGTCGTGTCCGGGTGAAGGAATTCCCAGTTTGATTTCGTAGGAGACCGGATGGGCCCAGAGCCAGTCCGGATATGAAAACGAAGTGTCAAGTTCTACGCATGAGTCCCGGTTGTCGGCAACGTGGCCACACTGACTGACTGACTATTCCATCACCCTCGCTACGAAAAATAATTTGAGAGATGTGTCATCTCTTTCTCAGTCAGCGGCTTGTACGCGTTTGTTTGTGTATTTGGTATTTTCCCCTCCGTTCTGGGATCTCCTGCCGCCCCTTCCTCATCCTATTTACATACAATTACCTTGCAACGAGAGTTCCTTTTGATACTGGACATGCCAGTGTTTTATTGTTCCCGTGAACCCAACATACTGCTGTATCTTGAGCGCGTCTGTTTCCATGGTAATGCCCACAGGGTCTCATTTGTTGAACTAGGAGAGAAGAGGAGAGGAATTTGTGTCTGTCACATTGGCATTGCGCACAGTTTTGTGTTGTGCCACGGCTGGTCGAGTAACACGCACATAAATTATGCTTTTAACTTGGTGTATCACATGCTGATGACCAGTTCTTTGTGAGCATAATAAATTATCTTACGAGTTCAGTGTATTACTTAAATTACATTATAGAAACTTGTATTTGTGGTTCTGCACGCAGACAAAATCTGCAGGGCTGGATTTTTTTATCGGTCGTAATGGTACAGGCCTAGTCGTTGTTTGCATTTGGAAGGCCCTGGGTTCGAATATCCAGCGAGCCAAGAACACGTCGGTCGCTTCTTTCTTAACATTTTTGGAGTAAGACTTGAGGTTCTCACAGCAGTGAATATGAAGATATCCGTCTTCTGGGTTATCGCCCTGATGACGGAGGCAGTATGACCTCTGAAACGTTGGTAAACATCGACCAGACTACACAGCGCAACAACCCAGAAGACAGAAATCTTCATACTCATCGCCCTGATGATGGAGGCAGTATGACCTCTGAAACGTTGGTTAACATCGACCAGACTACACAGCGCAACAACCCAGAAGACAGAAATCTTCATTTTTGGAGTAATTTGTTACAACACTCACCGAGGATCACGCCGTTGAAACAATGCTGTAATCTTTGCCCTGCTGCTGATGTAATCGTCCTTGATGAGGTGTAAAGAACACTTGGAAATTTAGCGCGCGGCTGTCCAATTTGTTTTAATCTTGGAACAGCCTGAAAACGAAACACGGCCGACGCTTCTGACCTAGTAACACCGTGTCAGTGCCTGCAAGGGAACGGTGGAGCCCCCTCGAGCACTCTGTCCTAATCTCAAGGTTCTTTGCACGAGGAAACGCCTGTTTGGGCAACGAGAGCGCAGTTACCAGTTGCTTCTGTACCAACTGCCGCCTATCTATTACCTTTCAGTCCAATAATCAAAGAACGCGCAATAGACAGGAACGGGTCAGAGGTCACTTCGAAGCAGTCATTTAGTCGTGACTAGAAAAGTACATGGATTGTGCAATGCATTATGGTATATAGATCGCTGTGTATGTCAGGTACCACCGTTGGGGAAGGGGGCATTCGTTAAATGTTTATTTTACAAGACTTTATTAATTAGTGATGAATTATTGACGTGCGAATGTTAAAGTGATTCTTGAAGGTACAAGGAATGAAAGAGTCATCTGTCTTAGGGCAAGGGCCTTCGTTGGACTCTTGCGAACACGACAGTGAGCTTCAGGATTTCGTGATATGAGCTGCTTAAGAAGAACCCTTCTTCATTCAGTTGCCATGAAAATTGAAAAGCAACGTGGAAAATTAATTTCGAATCAAAAACAGTTCTGTACACTATTAGAACTTCATGGGGTTAAATTCGAAAATCTCAAGGCTTCTCGTTAGAAGTGAGGAACAGAATAATGCTGACGTAATTTCAAATCCCACGCGGGACTCGAACCAAAGGCGGCAGCTTTTTTTTTTCAACAGCTGGGTTTTCATGAAACGTTGACACAGGGACGTCATTGTAGACGTTTCGCTGGTCTTATTTGAGCCACGACCGAAGAAGTTCTTGGCACATAACACATGGCTATAATCACCCTAATAGGCTAAGGCATGTCATTAATCCTTTAATGGAGAGTGGTAACTATATACACCACCTGCTTTAACATTCAGCAACTTTTAATCTTGCCCACAGAGCGTATTTATGTATTCCATTAACTTCTCAGATTAAACAGCGAATATTTCCCCGAACACCGCAAACGAACTGAACCTTGTGGAGGCATTGCGTTTTCTTTCTGTAGGAACTGTATTTTTTAAGTGTAGTCGCTGACGATCGTAAGGGGAGGTTGAACGCTTCGTATACACCCTTTGAACACGCGTTATTGTCTGTCATTGGAAGAAGCAGAACTTGCTCTGAGAAAAACTTGTTCCCTCTGGTACATGCCTAGATTAACCTTTCCGATAAAGTACCCCACTGTTTATTTGGCTTAATATTTTTTCTTGAACGAAAATCTTGCACCGGAAGAACGTCATAGCGTAATTATCTATGCAGCTGTTGGACTGAAAAGAGGACAAGTCCGTATCTGTTACATAAAAGTTTTAAAAATGTTTCTGTTTTCTTAATTTCTGTGTTTGTATACGGTGACTGCAGTGGTCGTTGACCTTAAATAATTGAAGTTTCGGTCTTCGCGCGATTGGACGCCAGTTCGATCCCTGCCTACGTCGTGATGTCGCCTCGTTCCGTTTCATCACGTCGCTGAGAAAGAAACAAAGATGAAAATAGGTACGAAGGAAAGGAACAAGAGAATAAAAACACAAAGACGGGGTATAAAGAAAATACGATAGGAAGAACGAAGGGAGAACAGAGAAAAGAATAAAGCAGGCACACACGAAAGAAAGACACAAAGGAATTATATCTGTTCACTGCGAGTGGTGTTCTGGCGCGCCAACCGTTCACAAAGCGATTTCCAGCAAAATCCATTCTGAACTATTAATCTTGCGTAATGAGTCGAGTTTTTTTTCAGGCGCCCCTTCCTTGTGCCTTTGCTTGAAATTTGGTCATTGACGTGTGTGACGAGAATGGCTTTACATTAGGATAAAGGCAATATTGAATTAGCGATAGTCCGTATGGCCAGAGTAAGCAAATAAGAACTTAGTTGGTGTTATTAATAGCAGAGAGCTTGTAGGGTGAAGTATTTTGTTTGTTGGATTTGAATACCTACGCGTTTATTAGTTTTATTTATTTATTTATTTATTGGCATTTTATTTGTGCTTGTTTGGAAACAGAACGACGTTATAGACTGACTGAGAAGCGTTGCTGTGGTCTCAGTAGTTGATTTAGCGTTGCTGGTCGGTCTTTGAATCCGTCAAAGAAGCCAGCGGATTAATGCCCTAATCCTTATGTAAGTACGTAGCCTCTGCAATCAGCGTGTGAAGAATCGAAACGTGTCGCAGAATATCTCGATGTACCTACTGTGAAGGTTGGTAGTACTGCTTCTTTTAGCACCGGAATGCCATTTGTATTTTTTATAGTCGCGCATGTGACAGTTTTACAGTGCTTTGTGTCACCTGCTACG